AGGTATTGCCCTGCTGGCTGAGGGCAATGGAATGGGGCGGGTGCTTCTGAAAGCAAATATCCTGAAAAACCTGTTGCTGGTATTACAGATTCTGGTTCCCACGTGGATCGTAAGACCAGAGTTCACTTCCTCGGAAGTGGCTTTCAGAATGTTTCTTGCTATGATTAGCTTTAACTGCAGGTAATGATTATCTGCAAGGTAGTGTCTGGGAATTACTGATTGAGAAGAGATTTACTCTCAAATAATTGTCTATCATTAATGGGCTCCTATTATGTGTCAGGCACTGTGCCAAGCACTTCATATATATTATCTCACATAATACAGAGAGTACTCCTATAAGATGGGAATATAATTATCATCCTCTGGTAGGACAGAAATGAAGGGTAGGTAACTTGTCCAAGGTTATGTAGCTAATGAATGGTCAATTCAGACTTGAAACCCACTAAGCCAGAGAGTAGAGCCTGTGCTCTTTCTCCCCCTACCATTCCAGAGAGCATCCTGAAGCAGCTGTCATGGTCGTGTTATCTTTTGGGTGAAGGCAGTTAGTAGTAGACACCTTTTAAAATGTACAGGAGGCTCCTGGGTGACTCTATTGGTTAAGTGTCTGACTCCTGATCTCAGCTCAGGTCTTGATCTCGGGGTCGTGGGTTCAAGCCCTGCATTGGCTCTACATTGGGCATGGAGCCTGCTTCAAAAAAAAAAAAGTAAGTACAGGAATTCTGTTACGAGTGTGTGTGTGTGTGTCTCTCTGTGTGTGTGTGTGTCTGTGTGTCTGTGTGTGTCTGTGACAAAGTAGTTAGGTGGGAGTTACCTACCAGTAATTAAATCTATGTAAATAATTTTCTCAGCTCAGTCTCTCTTCCCCAAGCATCCTGGCTCCTCCATGGTCAAGGATTTGAGGTAGGTGATAATAGTGGAGTTTTTGAAAACCTTTTTTTAAAGTTTGGGACACACCCAAAAACGGCAATTGGAAGTGCACAGTCCTTAAAAACTTTCACAAACAGATCCAAATAACCAGGAACCAGATCAAGAGACAGTATTACCAGCACTCTAGAAGCAACCCTTTAGGCCCTGCCCTAGCCTCTGCCTTGTCTCTCCTGCCCAAAGATAATCTCTATCCTTACTTATAGCATCATGGATGAAAGTAGCTCTTTTTAAAGTTCACATAGAATCATATAGGCTGGATAATGATATGTCTGCTTTCTTGCATCCTGCAATATATTTTTCAGAATCATTTAAACATAGCAATTTTGAGAAGTGGCAGTCAAAAAAGAGAGACAAGAGTAGAACAGTGTTTCTCTGTTTTATGTTTTTGCTTTTTATTATGTGCCTAGGTCAGTGCCTCTCCTACCTGCAAGATCCTCCAGACAAATCACCTGAGAATCTTGTTAAAACGTAGACTCTGATTACATAGGCCTGGGGTGAGGCCTGAGATTCTGCATTCTAACAGGTTCTTAGGTGCTGCTGCTGCACTGGTCCACACTTTGGGATGCAAGCTCTGTGCTCCATCAGTAATTTGAAAGGGTGCAGCAAGTATTTGAAAAATCATTCAGTGCCTCTAGTGTATGATCATTCTAACAAAATAACTCTAATGGAAAAGATTGGAGCATTATTTCATGTCTACATCTTATAATATTTAATTACTTTTTCTTCATGTGTTTCTGATTGATGTTTTTCTACTCAAAAAAATTAATTTATTGGGGTGCCTGTGTGGCTCAGTTGGTTAAGCATCCGACTCTTGATCTCAACCGAGGTCTTGATCTCAGGGTCTTGAGTTCAAGGTTTGCGCTGGGCTCCATGCTGGGTATGGAGCCTACTTTAAAATATAAAATAATTTATCTTTCAAAAAGATGTCAAATACCCATGGTAAAAAAATTTTAAAAGTTTAGAAAGGTAGATGGTGAGGAGCGGGGAGGAAGGTAGACTGAAAATAAGTTACCTTGTCGCTGGCCCCTCAGTTTCTCTTTTCTAGAAGCAACCTAGAAATTTGAAATTTCAATAACCTATACACTTCTTTTTCTTTTGCACACGTGGTAGGTTATTGTACAACTGTTCTGTGCCTTTGCTCTTTTTATTAACACTGTGTGGGGCACCTCGCTAGCCCAGTCTGTGTGGCGTGCAGCTGTTGACCTCAGGGTTGTGTGTTAAAGCCCCACGTTAGGTGTAGAGGTTAAAAATTATAAATCTTAAAAAAAAAAAGCAGTAAGTAAATAGCTAATGGTTATATTCTGGATATTCTAAGTGCTTTTGGTATTTCATTTTTTAAAAAGATTTTATTTATTTTTTCATGAGAGACACAGAGGGAGAGAGAGGGGCAGAGACACAGGCAGAGGGAGAAGCAGGCTCCATGCAGGGAGCCCGATATGGGACTCAGTCCCGGGTCTCCAGGATCACATCCCAGACTGAAGGCAGCGCTAAAACGCTGAGCCACCTGGGCTGCCTGCTTTTGGTATTTTAACTCTAATCTCCACAACAACCTTGTACAGTAGCATTATTGTTTCTATTTTATGGAAATAATTCATATCTAGGACATCCTTTAGAGCCTCTATATTATGAAGATTTTTTCCCTAGCTGTACATCTGTATTTCTACTCTTCTGTGTAATGTATCATAATTTAACAAGTTCCTTATTGATGGACATTTAGGTTGTTTCTAATACTTTGCTAATACAAATAGTGCTGCAATGAATTTTTAAGCATTTCATTCCATACTTGTAGGAATGTATCCATAGAAAAATTCCTAAAAGTTGCTGAAAGAATCTATGTTTTAAATTAATATTGCCAAGTTGCCTTCCAGGGGTGAGTTTTGCCTATTTGGTGAGAATGGTATTTCATTATAATTGCAGTTTCCATTTCTCTTATTACAAGTGAGGCATCTTTTCATGTTTAAGAGCCATTTTGATCTTTACTGTGAACCGTTTGTCACATCCTTTTCTACTAAGTTGTCGGTCCCTTGTTACTAATTTGTAAGTGCTCATTTTATATAAAGAAAAGTACTCCTGTGTGATATATGGTGTAGATGATGTTTTTTGTTGTGGTTGTTTGTTTGAATGTGTCTGTGTATGAATGTTTATGTGTGTGGTTTCTAGGTTTTGTGTCATAGTTAAAAGGATTTCCGTACTCCAAGAATATTTTTAGAAACCTGCATTTTCTTCTAGTGCTTCTAAAGTTTATTTTTCAGCGTTTCATTTTGAGTCCTCTAAGAGAAGTGAGATACGGATCCAAATTTTTTTTTCCAGGTGACTAACAATTGTCTCAACATCGTATATTGAACGATCTATATTTTCTGAACACTTCTTTAATAATCCATCTCCATGTATTTATATTACTTCTTTTGTCATAAACTATGTTCACATGTGTATTTGGGTTTATTTCTAGGCTCTGTATCCCGTTTCCGTGCACCAGTACCACTACTACTACACTATGGTAGATGTGTGCTGCAGTCTTCCTACATGTCCCTCTTGGATTTTTTTGAAATGTTCACTTAAGATTTAAGGAACACCATCAAAGAGCACAGCATGCCAGCAGTCTAATGAAGGAATGCGGGTCTCCCAAGGCTTTACAGAGTGATTTGTCCATGATGTCACCCACCAAGGAGGGGCACAATCAGGAGAACCCATGAATCTACCTAGTTCTATATCTTTCCAATAACCCCAGAGTTGGAGTGTAGCTTCCAGACCTCTCCCAACCCAAGGCCAGGCCATACCACTCTGATTATAAAGTCCCATCCCTCAGCACAGGGTAGGGGGGGGGGTGGATCTTCAGGGCTCTCATTCCCCTTTTGTAATTAATTAGTTGCAATTATCTACCCCCTCCCCCATGTAAGTTGAGTGAGCACAGGATTTTGCCTGTTTTATTTATTGCAATGCCCATAGCACCTCAGCACCAAATCCTAACCTCAGTTTTCTAAAAATGGAAAGAATGGGAAAAATATTTCACAAATCCTTTTGAGGATTAACTAAAACAAAGTGTGCCCCTAAGAGGGCCTGGCGTGTAGCCAAGCTTCAGTAAATGCAAGGCACAATTTCTGACCTTTCCCCCCAAATTACTGTTTTTCCCTGGGGTAAAACAAAAGGGAGAAGCTATTTGTGCCCTAAGACAGAGAAGTGTGGAGGAAAACCGTGGATCACTAAAGGGGAGAAAGGGATTTTACATGTCGACCCTTGAGAACCCAAAGGCCCCAAGTCCGAGGGCCTAGCCTCAACTGCGCGGCAGGGGTCGCGGAGACGCCAGGTGAGGGTCCTAACACCCGGGTTCCGACAAGGCGGGCTCAGGGCCCCGGCCTAGTGCGGCCCGACGCGCCGCCTCCGACGCGCCGCCTCCGCGGCCCCACGAGGGCCCGGACCACTCGCAGGGTCACGTGCGGTCTCGCTCCGCCCCGGCCTCGCGGCGGCGGGCGGGGAAAGGCTCGGCCCGGGCGGCGGAACACAGGCGCCTTTGTGCGCGGCGCGGCGGGGTCGGCGGGGCCGGCGGGGCCGCAGCTGCAGCCCCGCGGTGGGGCGCGCAGGCCGCGGGGAGGGGCCGCGCGGCGGCTCCCGCTAGAGCTGTGCGAGGTCGGTCTCCTCCGGAGGCGGTTTCTCTCCGCAAGGCTTGGCGGGGCCGCGAGGAGTAGGAAAGGAACCGGGGAGCTCCAGTGTTTCCGCCCTAGGAGCTGAGGCATCTGGGGAACAAGGGAAGCACCTGAGTTTGTGAGAAAGAGCTAAGGAGCAGCGCGGACAGCAGGAGGGCCGAGGAGGGGGTGGCGGGAGCCCTCGGGGCACTGCGAGGCGGGAACATGGCCTAGCCGGGTGGCTGGAGCTGTGGGGATGCCGCTTGGAGACGCTGCAGATGCTGACCCGGCAAAACGGAGCTGAAGAGTCGGCGCAAATTGCTGAAGCCAAAAAGACACAATCCAGTTCAGCAATTTTTCGTGGTTTTTTTTTCTTTTTTTTTTACTGTTTTGTAGCAGAAATCTTTTATTAAAATGAAATATGTATAATGTCAGTATATAAAATGGACGAAAATGTATGTGGTCCTCAAAACATTTAACTCTGGGCAGCCCGGGTGGCGCAGCGGTTTAGCGCTGCCTTAGGCTCAGGGTGTGATCCTGGAGACTCGGAATCGAGTCCCGCGTCGTCCGGCTCCCTGCGTAGAGCCTGCTTCTCCCTCTGCCTGTGTTTCTGCGCCTCTCGTTCTCTCTGTGTGTGTCTCTCACGAATAAATGAATAAAATCTTTTAAAAAAATCTTGTTAGGAAATACTTTCTTCAGTGTACCTGGAGGGACCTTGGTCTGGCCACTGAGAAAAAAACAAATTAAGGGGGGGGGGTGGCCAGAATCATTTGTTACTTGTCAAAATTTCCATTGTAACATGGATAGAGCGTGCATTTCTACCAGCACTATTTCACATTACCCTGTGTTGCAAACTTCGAATGAGGAAGGTGTCAAACCTCATTGAAACTGAGCTGTGGGGACGCCTGGGTGGCTCTGCGGTTTGGTGCCTGCCTTCTGCCCAGCGTGTGATCCTGGAGACCGGAGATCGAGTCCCCACGTTGGCTCCCTGAATGGAGCCTGCTTCTCTCTCTCCCTGTGTCTCTGCCTCTCTCTCTGCGTGTCTAATGAATAAATAAATAAAATCAAGAAAGAAGAAAGAAAGAAAGAAAAAGAAAGAAAGAAACTGAGCTTTGCAGTGCATCCATAGTGTCTTCTAGAAATACAACGAATTTTATTGGAACTGGGCAGCCTTCTTCCAACCCGGCTATTCTTTCTTTTAATCAGATCATGGCCCCTTTTTTGATACCTAAAAACTATATGACACTTAGAATCATTGTTCCTAATAGCCTCTGTTCAAGCAGATACTAAATACCAGGTACTAACCTTTGCAAATTTTATTATTTTTAATCCTCAACCATAGTATGTTTTAGCTTAGTGAACAAAACTGTTTACTTTGTGGTTTGTTTTGTTTTGTTGGGAGGGGTGGGACAGAGGGTGAGAATTCCAAGCAGGCCTCATATCCAGTGCTAGAGCCCTGTGTGGGGCTTGATCTACAACCCTGAGATCATGACCTGATGAAATCAAGAGTCAGATGCTTAACCAACTGAACTGCCCTGGCACCCCAGATTTTATTTTTAAGTAATCTCTACACCCAACATGGGGCTTGAATTTACAGCTCTAAGATCAAGAGTCACATTCTTTACCGTCTGAGCCAGCCAGGTGCCCCAATCTTGAATTTTTTTTTTTAAATTAGAAAATATTTTGAGTGCTCGCTTCAGCAGCACATATACTAAAATTGGAACGATACAGAGATTAGCATGGCCCCTGCGCAAGGATGACACGCAAATTCGTGAAGCGTTCCATATTTTTCTGCAGCCGCCATCGGTGCTATATTTGGCCTCACCTCCTGCATCAGCGCCCAGGTCCGAGAGAAGCCCGATGACCCTCTGAACTACTTCTCGAGCTGCGCCGGAGGCCTGACCCTGGGAGCACGCACTCACAGCTACGGGATCGGAGCCGCCGCCTGCGCGTACATGGGCATGACGGCCGCGCTGCTCAAGATGGGCCAGCTGGAGGGCTGGAAGGTGTTTGCGCCGCCCAAGGTGTGAGTCCCGCCGCCTCCCGGCTCCTCGGGAAGGCTCACATGTGACTAAAAATAAATTATGTGGATACTTAAAAAAAAAATATATATATATATATATATATATATATTTTTTTTTTTTTTTTTTTGAGGGGATCCCTGGGTGGCTCAGTGGTTTGGCGCCTGCCTTTGGCCTAGGGTGCGATCCTGGAGTCTCGGGATTGAGTCCCGCGTCGGGCTCCCGGTGTGGAGCCTGCTTCTCCCTCCTCCTGTGTCTCTGCCTCTCTCTCTCTCTCTCTCTCTCTCTCTCTATCATAAATAAATAAATCTTAAAAAAAAAAAATATTTTGAGGGCAGCCTGGGGGGCTCAGCGGTTTAGCACCACCTTAGGTCCAGGGCATGATCCTGGAGCCCCAGGACTGAGTCCTGCTTTGGGCTCCCTGCATGGAGCCTGCTTCTCCCTCTGCCTGTGTCTCTGCCTCTCTCTCTCTCTGTGTCTCTCATGAATAAATAAATAAAAATCTTAAAAACAAAAACAAAAACAAATCTCAGTCTTTCTCCATATTTCATTTTGATATTTTTGAAAAAATAAAACATAGATGCAGTTGAAGCCCCCATGGACTCCTCCCTGATTTCATTCCTATTTCTCCTCTCTCCCCAGATATGTATTATTTGAAATCGGTATCTATCTTCCCCTGCGTGTTTTATACTTACTACACTCATATACCCATAAACAAAATATAAATACATCAATTTATTTTTAAGACTTATCCACTTTAGGGATCCCTGGGTGGCGCAGCGGTTTGGCGCCTGCCTTTGGCCCAGGGCGCGATCCTGGAGACCCGGGATCGAATCCCACGTCGGGCTCCCGGTGCATGGAGCCTGCTTCTCCCTCTGCCTGTGTCTCTGCCTCTCTCTCTCTCATTCTATGTGACTATCATCAATAAATAAAAAATTAAAAAAAAATTAAAAAAAAAAGACTTATCCACTTTGATATATAGATTTAGTTCATTCATTTAAATTGCTATTTCTCCATAGTATGATCACAACATAATTTTTTTAAAAATTTATTCATAGAGACACACACACACACACACAGAGGCAGAGGCACAGGCAGAGGGAGAAGCAGGCTCCATGCAGGAAGCCTGATGCGGGACTCCTTCCCGTTCGCCAGGATCACACCCCAGGCTGCAGGAGGCGCTAAACCGCTGCGCCACCAGGGCTGCCCCATAATTTTCCTAATTTTCCTGTTGATGGACTTTTAGTTTCTACTTTTTGTAATTTGAATAATGCTGCAATGAACATTCTTGTTTAGGTCTCCTTATATACATGAGAGAGTTTCAGTTTTGTTTTCAGGAATATACATCTCTAACTCTTCTAGATATTGCTAAGTTCTCACAGTGGCTGTAAAAGTATCATTTTCATCAGTAATAACTGAGAGTTCCTTTTGCTCCACATTCTCAATAGTATAGTATTGTCAGATGTTTTAATTTTTAAAAAAGTAATGGGTGTGAAATGATATCCCATTTTTTCTTTCTTCTTTCTTTCTTTCTTTCTTTCTTTCTTTCTTTCTTTCTTTCTTTTTGGTAAATTTAAAGATTTTATTAATTTGAGAGAGAGAAAGAGCGCAGAGTGAGAGAGAGAGCATGAGTTGAGTGGAGAAGCAGAAGGAGAGAGAGAAGCAGACTCCTGGCTGAGTAGAGAGCCCAACGGGGGCCTCCCTTCAAGATCCTTGGGATCATAACCTGAGTCAAAGGTAGACACTCAATGAACTGAGCCACCCAGGCACCCCTGATATCCCATTTCTGTCTTAATTTATATTTCTTAACTTATTAGTGAAGCTGAGCATCTTTATAAGTGTTTATGGAATACTGGGCTTTTCTTTTTTTGATTTGTCTATAGTCTGCCTATTTTTATTTTACTTACTGATTATTGAAATTCTTTACCTATTCTTGGGGCACCTGGGTGGCTCAGTGGGCTGGGTGTCCAACTTTATTTTTGCTCAGGTCATTTTCTCAGGGTTGTGAGGTGGAACCCTGGTTGGCTCCGCCCTAGGCATGGAGGCTGCTTGAGATTCTCTCTCCCTCTGCCCCTCTCCTCCCACCCGCTTGTGTATACCCTTTCTCTCTTTCAAAAAAGAAATTCTTTACATATTCTAGACGAATCACATATCAGCTATATATGAGGCACACAATCTTCTGGCAACTTGTGTTTTCACTTTGTCTTTTTTTTTTTTTTTGTACATGATAATGTAGTCAAATGTATTAATGTTTTACTTTATATAGCTTTTTGTGACTTGTTCAGGAAATTATTTCCTACCCCCAAGGTCATATAGTTGGTCTTCTATCTATATATTCTTTTTTTTTTTTTTAAGATTTATTTATTTGAGAGAGAGAGAGCAGGGGGGAGGGACAGAAGGAGATGGGGAGAGTCCCAAGCAGACTCCAAGCTAAGCACAGAGCCTGACTTGGGGCTCAATCTCATGACTCTGAGATCATGAGCTGAGCTGAAACCAAGAGTCAGTAGCCCAACTGATTGAGCCACACAGGTGCCCCTCTTGTATATTCTTTAAAATTTTTTGAAGATTTTCTTTTCAAATCAATGTTTTTACCTGGAATTATATTTGTGAATGGTATAAGGTAATTTCATTTTTTCTCCTATGCATATCTAATCCCAGCATCATTTACTGACCAAACAAGAACAATTCAATTTGAAAAACCCACATAACTATAGCCTGGGTGTGGGTGGGTGTAGAGATTTGGAGAGAGCTCTGAAGGGGAGAAATACATCCCAGGGCCAGCCAGGGCCAGTCTGGGCTCAGGCACACTCCCTAGATGGTGCTGTTGGTCCTGGCCAATCCCAGGTATCAGAGGGGAATTTAGAAAATTCTGAGGGAGGCATTTCTGGTCACCTAAACCCCTGTGGGACCTGGTTCCAAACTGGGACTTTCTACCTGATTGGCCTTTGTGGCCTCAGCCATTCCCACTAATGGAAAGTACATCAAAGCATGGGCTTCTGGAGGCAGGCAAATGCCCGTGGCAGGGAGCTGACTTGGCAGGTGAAAGAGCAGTATTGGCTAACATTACAGCTTTTTCCAGGCATTTCCCCTGGAGCTAAAAGTTCCATAGGTCTGTCTTCCAAGTCTTTACAGGGAAGAATTTTTCCAAAATTTGATGTATCACCAAATATCTAGCTTTCAAAATCTGTTTGTCATGGCCTGCCTTACCAATAAATCAAAACCCGTATTTTAGATTTTTGTTGTAGTAACCCCACTTCCATGTACCAATTTCTACATTTTAGATTATAGGGTAAATTTATATAACAAAGAGATTACAAAATATAATGGCTCAGGGTACCTGGGTGGCTCAGTGGTTGAGGGTCTGCCTTTGGCTCAGGTCGTGATCCCGGGGTCCGGGGGATCAAGTCCTGCATCGGGCTCCCCACAGGTGGTCTGCTTCTCCCTCTGCCTGTGTCTCTGCCTTTCTCTCTGTGTCTCACGAATAAATAAATAAAATATAAATATAAATATAGGCTCAAACAAAATAGTAATTTCTTTCACTCTCATCCTACTGTCTGGAGGTGAATAGTCTTCTAAGGTTTGTGGGCAGCTCTGTTTCAGCTGCTGATTCAGAGACCCAGATTCCTTCCATCTTGTTGGCCCACATTTTCCTAAGGTGCTGACCTCTTAGGTGTGGTCAAAGCTGGGTTACTCATGCGACTAGATTCTAGCTGCCAGTCTTTATGTCTGTGTCTCTCTGGTCTTTCTTTGGTTGATTTCTCAGAAAGAACCCATGAGAATAGCAGTCTCTGAGTGTTTGCAGTATTCTTAACAGTTTCTCTGTAGCCTTTCTACTGGAAGCTCAGTTTGGTTGGATATGGAATCTGTGGTTCACATTTTCTGTCTTTGTCTTAAATATGTTACTCTATTACTTTCTGGATAAAGTGTTAACTAACAAAAATTATAATATTTTTCCCCCTTGGTCTTTTTTTTTGCCTGGATGCCAATAACCATTTATTTTTCTTTCAAGTCTAGTAGTTTCAATAGAACACTTATTTACCATTCTGGATCCATTCACCCAGATACATGTCACACTCTTTCAATACACAGTTCCAAGTTCTAGAGTAGAGATCCCTTTTTGGTTGTAGTCACATAGTGGCTTTAAAAATATTTAGAGGTGCCAGGGCAGCCCCGGTGGCCCAGCGGTTTAGTGCTGTCTTTGGCCTGGGGTGTGATCCTGGAGACCGGGGATCGAGTCCCATGTCGGGTTCCCCGCATGGAGCCTTCTTCTCTCTTTGCCTCTCTCTTTCTCTCTCTGTGTCTGTCATGAATGAATAACTAAAATCTTTATATATATATATATATATATATATATATATATATATATATATATATATACCTGAGTGGCCCAGTTGGTTGAGCATCTGATTCTTGATTTCAACTCAGGTCATGATCTCAGGGTCATGGGATCGACCCCCAAGTCAGCCTTATATTTGCCTTATATTTTCTGAAATTTGTCTCTTCTGCTTCCCTCCCTTACTTTTTTTTTCCTTCCCTTACTTTTACTTGGACCTTCCTCCTACTTATCCCTACCCCTGGGATTTCATTCCCAGCAGTTTGTCCTCATTGAAGAGCTGAAGTGCTTTGGAAGGAGCTTTGTTTATAGGACTGAGAGTTTATAGGACCCAGTCTACTCCATCACTGAGACTTTTTTGCTTCTTTATGGTCCTTTTGCCCTCACTGGCCAGCTGGACTCTGCAGGATCCCCTCCTGGCTTCCACTAAGAGTTGCCAATTGGGGGTATGCCTGCTTTCAGAGTACTCAAAAGCCGAGTTCCTTCCCTTTGCTTCCCTCTGCACAGATTCTGATCCCACACAAGTCTTGTAGCTGACAGGGTTTATTCTTGCCAGCTTGAATTTGTGGATTCAGACGAATGTCTTGCTACCCAGGTTTGTGGAGCTCTTATCCATGAGCCTTTGGTATGCTGTCCCAGGTGCATTTTGCTGCCGTGGTAGTTTTCCCTTACTCCACTAGGTTTTCCAAATATTGCATTTATTATCATCCAACCCTAAATTTTTTATTATTTACACAAA